AATCACGTCGTGTAGGAAATCGGCGAACAGTTTACCGACAGAGCCCGATTTGCAGAAAACGGGTGGGGGCCCCCCTAATCGTGCGCGGGTCGAAGCTGATCCATGATTCGGTGAACATCGCGAATGAATGGCGAATCTGTTGCGAATAGTCGGCGATACCTTGGCAACAAGTCGACGCACGCAGCGACATGTCGGCGGTGACTCGGCGACTGTTTGGCGATCATGTTCGTTTTTTATAAATTCGGCGAACGGCCACGAAATTTTCATTTTTCATGAAATATTCGTGGCGGTCGTGACGAACCGTAAAAGTCGCGCGGTGGACACCGACTGGTCTGCGAAATGCCAGACCGTGGAAGAAAGATTCCGAATCGGTCCGCGACATAGGATGACTTGCATATTCGTGCACATTCGTGTACCAAAATTGGGCATTGTAACAAACGCAATATGAAAGTCTTCTCCCATAGGGTGAAGACTTCCAGACTTCCCCTATATCTTCAGGGAATGGATATGTTTTGCTAGCGCTCGTTTTATGATGGCACAATGCTGGATAGACTGTTGTGAGCACTCTTACTTTACTCAAATGTGCTATCGATATGGATGCTTGTAGATCATCAGCGTCACATTTCTATTGGTGCTAGAGACTTGCCGTAATTACTGTAGTCAATCATCTGTCATGTTACGCTCTTCGTTTGCTTAATTTGCAGCTGATGAACGTCAGGCATATGACCAGCTTGTTGCCAGCGAGAAGTGAAGAGATGTCTGTCTTTTTATTCCTCCTTCCCATAGAGATCTTATATACATGTATATAATCTTATATACATGTATATAAGATCTCTATGCTCCTTCCTTCCTCTTTGGCTGACCTCTGTGCCCGCTGGTCTCATCAGCTGCGGCTGGTGTCCACGGCTCCGTCCAACCGCGAGTTCGCCTCCACCAAGGCGGCCAGCTACCAGGTGTACAAGCAGTACCAGATGGCCGTCCACGGCGACACCGAGGACAAGTGCTGTATGCGCACCTTCGAGCGCTTCCTCTGCGCTACCCCTCTCAAGGTACGGTGATTAAGTGGCTGCTTTCCAGGTTGCGGTGACTGGTTGGACGTTTCAATAACATGCTGGCTGGTTGGACGAAGTAGGTGGGGCTTTGTTATCGCGGTGGGTGAAGATTATTTGCAATGATCATTTAATATATTAGACCAGAGCGGTAACACGGTCTGAGCTGTCCTTGAGCCTGAACAAGGGTTAGTGTTTATACGATAAATGTTAAGGCGTGTTTCTGGTCTCGGTGGTGCGAGGCTAGTCTCCTCTGTCACTGTTTCGTATTGCTGGCGACCGGCTGACCCCGTCTTACCCCGTGTCTGCCGGCACAGGGGGCACCACCGTACGGCGCCTACCACCACCAGTACTGGCTGGACGGGGAGCTGATCGCCGTCGGAGTCCTGGACGTGCTGCCCTCCTGCGTATCGTCCAAGTACTTTTACTACCTGCCCCGCTTCGGCTTCCTCTCGCTGGGAACGTACGGCAGCCTCAGGTAACGCCGGCGACGGCGACAGGGTGGTCCGTGCAGATAATACCTAGTGGTTATTAGACCCTAGCACAGCTCTCTGCTAGGATTAAGTCTTTTTATTTTAGGGAAATGTCTTCACTCTTTCACGTTTTCTCCGTTTTTTGCATTTTATTACTCTGAGAACGCCTTTGATTGGCTGATACTGATCACTTACGTAGCATGATTCTTCGTCAATCAAAATATGTACGGCTCGCGAGATTAAGCGGTAGGTTTTGCACTTTTACATTTCCGGTTATATCTCAGAAAGTAATCGATCTACGATGAAGCCATTTTACACGATCATGGCCGGCTTGTTACCCAACAAGTCAATGGCATCGTCAACACTTAAAAGCTTAAGACGACGAAGATATAGCCTGAAGTACACTAGATTTTCTAGGTGCAAAACCTACCGCTAAAACCCGCGAGACCTGTACCTCTTTGGACATACCTACGATAAATTTATTTCTCCGGGAGATCCTCTCCGGAATTAGCTTGCTCACTTTGCCTCTACTCCTGGCACTTTCTTACCATTTTTATCTCATTGTTCATGTTCTATTCATTTGTCTGCCTTTGTTGTTACTGGCTTGTTCCGCTCTGTATTTGTCTCGTTTCTCTTTCATTTCCGTGATGGTTTTGTCTCACTGTTGTTAATTTGCCCACATCGTTGGCATTTCCACATGCCGATATTTCCGTTTACCTGCCTCCCTCCCCATTGATCTCTCCCGTCTTCCTTCCCATCCGAAAATAACATCACCCTTCCCACGAATCGCTTCCACACCTCGTGGCCCTGTCTCCATGTCCTCCTCTCCCCCCCCCCCGCTACACACACCTGTATCCATTCTTCCCACTGCTGTTTCCTTCCCTGCCTGGCCTCGTCGCCCGGTCGCTGCCGCCCGGTGACGCGCCATCTCCGACCAGGGAGCTCGAGCTGACGCGCCAGCTGCAGCGCAGCCGACCAGAGCTGCGCTACTACTACATGGGCTACTACATTCACACGTGCCCCAAGATGCGCTACAAGGGCCGGATCGGCCCGTCCGATCTGCTCTGCCCGGAGACGTACACCTGGCACCCGCTGTCCGCCTGCGAGCCGCTGCTCGACAAACATAAGTACGCTCGGTTCGCGCCGGCCGGGCCGCCGCTGCCGGCGCCCGACCTGAGCGCGGCGCTGGTGCTGTACGACGGACAGCCGATGCGCTACCGGCGCTACCAGCAGCTGCGCGGCGCCAGCGACCAGCAGGAGATGGGCCAGTACCTGCGGCTCGTCGGACCAGCCGTCGCCTCGCAGACACTGGTGTTCAGGGAGTGAGGTGGGCGGCCGGGCGCGTGGTAAGTCTCCACGCCCCGCCTAGGGAAATACTGCAAGCGTGACACCCACTCCTGAATTTCAGATAAAAGGGTGGTCACAGACCGGCATCGGTGCATTAGTTATATTATCCCCCTCCCCCACTTCTCCAGTAAATGAGGGTGATTGGCCTCCCCTACAGATAATTCGTCATAACTCTAGAATGGAGCGATGAACGTGAACCTTCCTGTAACTTCTACATCAGCTATTAAACTGAATCTTCGCGTAATTTCTACATTAATTTCGCATTGTTATGGATGTTTTTTGCTTGGTTTTGTCTAAATTTTTCCAAGTTATTACTGATTCTAACATAGCTGTCCGTTTGCTAAAATTTATTATTTTTGTCCTCCGATGTAGACTTTGCATCAAGTCTGAAACATCTTCTGAAATGTCTTCACTTTTTTAATCGGCAACTGGTCAAATTTAATGGTATATTCAACACTGCGATCGCGACAGCCCCAATTGTAAAAAAAAATCGTTTCCATATGAGAAAGCTGCAAATTTTCATTCATATCGGACAATGGGGATATCCATATGCCCACAGTGTCCGTTCTTTGGATCTGCCAGTGCGTGTTCTCAAAAGTCATCTTTTATGAGTGTTTTTTTGTGTATCTCGGTTAGACCTTTCCAACGTTCTTTGCGTATCTCGCTACAATGCTTAGTTTTGGACATTATCTACGTCTCTCCTGAAACGTTAAACGTCTCTTCTGAAACACTGGCAGTCGGCTGAAGGGCTCAGCCAAGCGCGAGCCAACTTTTGATGCCACCGCAACTAGGTAGGTACCACTGACGACTGCCGGAAGCGCGTTAGTCTAATCGCGAGCTGTTTTCAAGGCAGGAATCGGGTTCACTGGCTGCGCAGTCCGGAACGTGCCGGTAGTTTTGTTTTGACACCTTGCGTTTTTGGTGTGGCATTCACGTGCCTGTGATGTTGTGATGCGTCTGCCGACGGGGTGCAGTGTTACGCGGCGGCTATACTGGCAGGAGGGGCTCAGCCAATAGGGGCCGCCTGGTGACTGATCTGAGTGCGACTGGCTGTGGCGGCAGCCTTACTTACAAATGATGTGCAGATATCTTATACTATCATGTGTGGGCTTTTTTCCCGATTTCTGTGCACCTAATATAGGTATACAGCCTTTATTTTATGAAGTCGCTCTGGTAATTAGATTAATGATTGTCTCGAAAAATTGAAACGCGTTCAACGCTATTCTTACGTCATTAGATATGTCCTGTGTGGCTTACAGTTTTGTGCTGTAGTAGTCTGATTGCTTTGTTGTATATTTCCGTATTTCTCATCAGACTATATTATCTGCCTTAGCAAGGCACACCTACTATTAGGTCTCCACCACCTTTCAGATTAACCTACGATACTAACTACTTACTGTCGGTGGGAGCCGGCTGTAGCGAGGCGCCGCTGTGCGTCTGCGCGTGTGTTTGTGTGTGTGCTGCGGTCAGTTGCCTGTCGCCCCGCCCTGGGCTAGTGGTCGGTGACGCCGCCTGTGATACGGACACTGCCTGCCGGCCGCGGTAGCGATCGCCGGGGATGGTCGGCCGGACAGGCGAATGCGGGTCGGTTGCTCAAGGCGGGACGGTCTTCTCAGGCGACGCAGAAATGATGTGAGCCGCGGCGCTTATGGCATGATACTGGCCAGGGGACAGCGACGGCTCTAGCGAAACCTTTGTGTTGCAGCTTGCTCTTGGACGGATTGATATTGTTACTGACCAGTTTTAACTTAGATATTCATTTTCATATTCGACGTCGCTTGCCTTCTCGGTTGTATTGATTCAAATACATCTTAAAACGTGGATGTTTGTAAAGGGAATATTTTCACCGGGGCTACATTGCAGCTTGTTTTGTTAAGCGGCGAATTCATACTGGACGTTTTATAGTTGCATGGATTTTTTTGTGAATGCCACTTTCCATGCATGTGAATATCGGTGTTATTTACAGAAAGCCGTATAAATGTTTCCGTATACGGCCGTATTCGACCTGGAATAAAACCAAGTGACTTGTTTTCGTTCGAATATGCTTTGCCACGTCAGTCAACATTTACAAGCGGGGTCATATATGCAGGGAAGCACGTGAATGCATATTGTTAAAATCAATCAGACGTCCACCCCAGAGCGGGATCTTCTCTGCAAATGTAACATCAATGACATCAATTGCATACCTATCGGTGCTAGAAGATATCAATGTTCAAAAGAGAACGACAACGACTGTAACGGTGTATTGTATATGTACACGCAAAATTCCAAAATGTTAGTGCATACGAGCTTGGCAAGCCGGCAAGCATGGCTAGTTATGCTCCCAGAATGATTATTTTCGAACATTTCGCTTGGCACTTTGCATGATGTTTCTGGGTCATGCGATATGTGATATTTGTGCTTTTGGTCGCCAGTGCTGCGTCTTTGCACGAGCAGTCTAGGAGTGTGGCCGTGCATTCCGAAAATTTTGAATTGAATTTTCCGTCTAAAAATCAGATGTTTAGTGACCACAATATAACGAAGACGACTGACGACAATGTAATGATACGAACAAAACGGAGCAATCGGAAAATATCCCTCCGTGAAGCAATGAAACTGGAGCGTAGGAAGGCAAAGCAACATAAAATGAAACGTTATCTGCGTAAGGAATTGCGAAAGGCCGAAAGAAATGCGTTAATACAGCAGAACGGCATGCTTGATGCGAAACGGCAATCAAGAGAAGACGATGTGATGACTTCCCATGAGGCTACTCAAGAAAGACAAAATGAACTGTTAGCAACAGTTGATGATCTACCCAAGCGAGCTACAACAGTTGAGATATCTGTCAAAGATCCCGGGATGTGCAAGGTGGATGGCGTAACAATGTGCAAGCATGGAGGGGAATGCATGTCCAGGGTAAGTAGCGCCGTTTTCAGCTGTAATTTGTCTGCTGTAGTGCTCACAATATTCATGTTTGCATCGTATATGAATTTGTTGAAAAGTTAGCAGTTTGCAAAGTGCTTCCCATTTTTACGTCGGTTTCATGATGTGTTCATCATGAACGTCAGTTTAAATACATTGGGCGCAGCCAGATTTCCTAGCTGTTCTTTTCCGTGTTCAAATTATCACGCGGCCTCACCAGCCCCTCCCCAGCCGTCTGACATCTGTCCCTCCTGTCGCCGACTGCTGGCCTCTATCTCCGGTCGCTCAGGACGAGGGCGGCGCGCCGGTGTTCTTCTGCGCCTGCCAGCCGGCCTGGGGCGGCGACTTCTGCCACGAGCGGCGCGACCCGTGCTCGGCCGGCCTGCTCGACTGCGGCTCCATGTTCCGCTGCCGGCGTGACGAGCGGAACCGGCTGGCCGGCTTTACGTGCGACTGCCACCGGCGGCTCGGCTGGGCGCGGCGGTCGGGTGAGTGGCGTTGAGTCGAAGCAGGGGAAGGGGTGTCTTATCTGTCTACCCTGGGGTTGTCGCATGGTAGGGAAGACTGGCATCAGGAGGGTAGGGTGCTAAACTTCATGAAAATCTACAAGGTTTGAAAATGCTGAGTGTCTGTCTGGTGTCATTCTGTCCCTCGTCGAGTGTTGGCTTACCATCACCCGTTTACAAGACCCCACCGCTGGTCTTTTCGGCAGAGTCTGATCCGCGCTGTATCCGAATCACCAACTGCTCGGAGGGTAACCCGTGTCAGAACGGAGGCACCTGTCATCAGGAGGAGGGCGGCTTCGTGTGCGTCTGCAGCGAGCGCAGCTCTGGAGACGTGAGTACCGAGTGGTCGCGAGCGTCCTTAAGTACTGAATAAACGCGGGTACTGTGATTGAGGATGCAACGTTGGACTTGCTCACTGCTCACATCGTGGCATTTGTCAGAGGAATTACGATGAGCATCCATAAAAAACGTAGAGCGTGTCATAGTGTAGTCTGCATTATAATTTATACAGTCACTGTCTGTCGATCACTCTGAATATTATCATTGCTGCCCGGACTCTAGGATACTGACCATGCTGGCTCCGCCCTGTGTTCAGCTACCACTCAAATAGACTGTGTGCATCCACTGCCGGCAGCTCTAACACTGCTGTGTCGCTACGCGTGTTCACTGCGAGCATCCACTGCCGGTAGCTCTGACATCCTCTGTGTTCCGACAGCTGTGCGAGCACCCGTTGCCGACGGCAGCCGAGGTGGCCGGCCCGGCCGTCTCCCGGATCGAGGCCCTGCTGCAGCGGTCGGGACAGCCGGCCGACACGGTCCCACAGCGGCGAGACGTTGACGATACACCGCCGCCCGGGGCCTCCCGGTCTGCCGGCTACCACAGCATGGTCTCCGCCAACTACGCCGTCCCTTCACCCAGGGAGGACACTGGAGCCGACCTGTGGGCCGACGACAGCGGTGCGGCGCCCACCGAGGACCTCTCGCCTCCCGACCCAGGCGATTACGGCTCAGTGATTGATATGAACCGCGTATCGGCCAGATACGGAGGGATTGTATCAGCCAAGTACGGCGTGCCCCCAGCGGAGAGTGATTACAACTCATTCCTGAGGAGGAGGGCTGCGGATGTGGCCTCCGCCGGCTGGCCGGTGTACGGATATTATAACTCCCCATGGGCCAGTCAGAGTGGAGCCGCCGCGGCCGGGCACTACCGTAACCCGTGGGAGGGGTACGGTGCCACCGCCAGCCGCCGGCGGCGCTCTCATGGCCGCAGAGATCGGCGGACGTCGGCACGCCGGCGGCAGCACGAGCGGTTTCTGGAGAGGCTGCTGCGAGACGTGGAGCCCCAGATCCGCCGGACGGCGCGAGACAGTGTCATCGAGCTGCCGCGAAGGTGACGCCGTCATGCGGAGCGCCTCATCGGATTGCTGGTATGTGCGCGGTGATGCGATGTCAGGGCGAGCTGCCATCACATAGATGATGAAATGAAACGAAGATATCATGCATAGCTTCGTTGCTATTGATGTGTGTGTGCTCTTAAAACTCGTTGTTGAATTACAAAGCAGACTTTGTTTGCGTGTGCCTTTAAAGTTGGTCACTCCTTTATTTAATTGACGTAAAATCTAGGGATAAAATGCGTAAGAAAAGAAACCCGGGTACAGTGCTGCTTCATATTTCGGTTCGAGTGTATTGACCGTTGAGTATGGGCGGCTGGTTACACACATGACTGAAGCTCGCCAGCCACACCGGACAGAGACGCAAGGACAGCCTCTCCCACGCCAGTCGTTGCAGCGCTGTCAGTCAGAGAGCGGCGGGGTCTCGTGCGCCGACGCCTTGGCGGCCGCCTGTCGGGCGCGTCGGCAGCACTCCTTGTATACGGCACCGATGTCCTGCATCAGCTCGGCCACCGTGTTCATCTGGTCGCCGGGCTCAGTGTACTCGATCACCTCCTCGTGCTCGAGAGCGCGCTCCCTGTGGTACCTCTGGCACAGCTGGTACAGGTTGTGGATGGCCATCTTCACCTGGCCCAGCTGCAGCGTCTGCTTGGCGGCCGTGTTCTTAATGCGCGTCCAGCTGTTCTCCCACGCGGCTACGTTGTTCTGCGCGCGCTCGTAGCGCAGGTGGAGCTCAGAGATGAGGTTGTTGAGGCGCAGCACGTTGGTGCTGAGGTGTTCGGAGGAGGCGATCAGACTGAGCGTTTCCTGGTCGAGTATCTGCGCGTCGTGCTGCTCCCGGTCCAACAGCTCCTTCTGCGTCGCCCACAACACGTCGCATCGGCTCAGCAGGTCGTTAATCTCTTCGTAGTCTGGATTGTAGGCGGTCGCCTTCAGAAGAAAGTCGCGGAATTTAGAGTTGCTGTTTACAGCTTTTTGCATTTCATCTTTTCTTTCCTCTAACTCCTTCAGTTCTTCCTTTAACGCGGCGATCTCAGAGTCCTTCTTGGCTTGGTATTCGCGCTCTTCCATTGATTTTCTCTCCCCTCTGTGTCGCTTTAAAGTGTTCTCTCGAAAGAACTTTTCGTACCTGAGCATCTCTTGTTTCAAGGCGTTTTCACGATCTGCAAGGGCCTCTCTGCCAGCCCTGATTTCTTTCATCTTTTCTTTAAACCATTCTTTGCGCATTTCCAATTCCTTATCAGTTTCCTCGACTTCATTTCTTTTGGCCAATATCTTCGTGGCAGCTGCTAGGTGACAATCTTCACGGCGTGGTCGCACTGCGATCTTATTTTCGAACTGGATTTTGAAATAGTCTTCCAAGTTTCTGTTCATAATGTCTGTTTTCTTCATTATGGCGTTTCCTTCGGCTTCTAAATTTTACTCTTTAGCTATTGGATGGTGACAAATCTTTGAAGAGTGACTTTCCCGATTTTTACTTTGCCCACCCAGCCCAATTCCGGAGTACCCTATTCGGAGATGTCTTCCTACAACATTTCGGAAGGTTTCGGGTTTCTGTCAAGTTTCTGTGTTGTGTCGTGTCTGAATTGGAAGTGCGATATGATAATATGCAAGGTGAAAAACGTGCTCTTCGGCTGAGGGATGCTGCATTTCCGATACCTGACACCAAATATACAACTTGTTAGCAAGGTACGAAGCGGAGTTGGTGCGAGACTTCGAGTCTGCCAGAGTCAACAATTCTGACCGAAATTGGTACGAAGCGGAGCGGAGTTGGTGCGAGACTTCGAGTCTACCAGAGTCAACAATTCTGACCGAAATTTGAGTCGTCAAAATCCTATTGACTTGACTGTCTCCTACACGGGAGTTGGAAAATTAGACTTTGGCCTAAGTCATGTCCGTTAAAGCTCTATAGTCGGATCAAGTTTTACCCCATTTTCGACGGGTCGTGTTATACGGTGCATATTGATTGGTATTGATTAATTAGCGTGGCCGGTCCGGTACAGCTCGGATGAAATGTGGAGTTTTTGCGGAGGGTCGCACTCACTACAATGGGGTTGGGAACTCGATTTTTTAAGAATGCATGAAAATGATCAAACTATTTTCACAGAATTTATGGTGCATACCATTGCCTCATAAAATCAATAAGCTGAGAGAAATGGGGGAAGAAAGATAGGAAACTTGTTTTGAAAAGTTCTTGAAAAAAGATGCTCTTGATGCTGTTACGTCACATGTCACCTTCTGCGGTTGACAAATAATGGCGCATCTGGCGCACCACAGTTTACATGCTATATCAATGGGTGAAAGATGTTGTTTGCTTCACTCTGCCATTCGCGCTGTTTTTAACTTTAAATTATGCTAAAACATTTACGGATGAAATGTTCAGTGTCAAAAATTGATGTGTCTGCCGTGTACTATATTCCCACTTAACATGAGCGCGTGATAAACATTTTATGTACCTCGAATTTTCAAATGATAAAGATGATGAATCGGAGGATGCTGAAAAGCAAAAGCTCATTCCAATATTTGGACTACTTTACGATTAAAATGTTTACATTCCTGTCATCTTATTGATCATTTATTTGTTCTTTTTATGAAAATAACTTAAGGCGTTGAGAACCGAGGTAATTTCTATCTACCGTGCCTTAACTTACCAGCAACAGCAATCTATCTACGCCCTACGGTGGCAAGGGAGACTGTGAAAGAAGCTTAAGATGGATTCTAAACAATTCTTTTGTGATATACTGAAGGGCAAAGTGCAGAGAAGAGCGTACAAGTCCTGTTTTGTGCCAGGCTGTTGCAGTAGCACTTATGAAACTCCGAAAACGATCTTCGTTCATGTCCCGAACAACATTACCCTGAGGAGATGATCGTCTGCAATAGCAGGAAGAGCTGATGCAAGTACTTTGAAATCCACTATCAAGTCGGTGCTATTGTTGTAATGATCACTGTGAGGTGAGATATTTTGTGCAAGGGCTGAGTGTAATGCCCAGGAAATGACCTCCATTCGCCCCCTGACCGGTCAGGGTTATAAAATTTGAGTGGATGGCGGTCCGTTTGGGGTTCAGATGTCAATTGTATTTTGTTACTGTCAAACAATACATGTTATGCTGGCAGCGAATGTGTGTAACGTCGTTTTTCGAAGCAGAAGTTAGATCTGTAACGGCAGAGTGCTTGCTGGTCTCATCGTAAGTATTGTAAGTGTTGTAAGCAAATGCATTGTCAATATTGTAAGTACCTATTGTGAGCATTGATGTATGGTAGATATCACCTCACATGATCTCGGCTCAGATAACCCTCTCCGGTGTCCCTGTCAGTAAATGGCACCTGGATCATTACAGATAAGATAATTTGTCATAATTCTTAAAGAATTGGGTGGTTTTGACTCGTTTACTCGAGGTGCAGGTCGCATTTCAATACTTTTCCATAGGCTTGCAATGTAAAGGTCACGACTCTGACCTAACCTCAGGTCACAGATCAAAAATTCTGAGATATACAAACGACACATACTGCAGGTAGGTACTGTTTTGAAGACTTGATGAGAGGAAATAACTTCGTGAAAAACTCAAGCTCTGACGTGTTTGCAAACTTTTCTGAGGTGGGGTCAACAAACCCGCTCTGGTTACCTGACCTGACCTGACCCGGCATTTTTTTTTTTTTTTTTTTTGCTGAGATGTGCGCAATGAGCATTTAGGAAAAGTCACCAAATATGAGCTGAATGTCTCGCGGCGTTTGGCAATTGTACAAGAAAATCCTGAAAGGTCTCCCCGTCCGAAATAGGGTTAATGTGTATATGAAGAGTTGCAGATGCCAAACATACCCAGATCTAAGACTGCAGTTCCCAGCGCCGCTGCAACGTTTTTAAAACAAACATACATAGGACATACAAACATGTACATAGGATACATAGGATACATAGGATGACAGGCGAATAACCGCTCACGCAAGGAGCGGAGCTCCGCCCCGTCCAAAGTGGCCAACAAAGCAGAGACAGAGGCAGCATCACATCTTCCATCAAAGAACTGGTTTCTGGCTTGGAAGATGAGCTCCATCTTTGCATCCGAGTCGGTGCTGTCAGGAATCAGCTGGTCTAATGGAGTGAGAGTAGTGAGACGACTAGCTATTGTATCAGAGCTGCCTGGTCTTCGTAGCATTTGCACCGATTCTTCTCGATCGGACTCTGAATTCTGTTCCTCCTGCGTATTACTTGAGGCATTGCTATGTAGCTAAGTCTTTGGCAGAGTTTCATTATCCATGCTTTGCAAACAGTGCCATAACAACACAGTTAATTAATCACCAAGCTTCTTTGCAAGTTCCAATACAGTTGAATCGCACGCGATTTGAGTGCAAAAATCAAGAAAAGTGCCAACTTGTTCCCGTAAAATATTTTGAATATTGACCTAAAAAATGAGTAATTTCCAGATAAAATAACAGCGAAATCAGTTTTCGCTTGCCAATAAAACTCACAGATATTGAAGCTCCATTATTAAAGGAACATTTTAGTATATGCCATTCTTGATAAAACTTCTTAGCCACGCAATACCAGCGCAAAATAAAGAGACACTGAAAACACGACCAATCACTCCGATTTACCATAGGAAAATACATAGAAAATGTATGTCTCAACTGCGCCAAATATACAGACAGTTATATACCTACATGTGACGTCATGATTAGCCCGACCAATCAGAAGCAAGTTGTTTTCAGCCACAGATAATTAATTTCTGAACTAACTAGGCATTTTTTTAACAAAGTGATTTTAAATTAAATCATTAAAAATTCTGAGCTTTTTTATTTTACCAAAACATACAGAGCATGCAGATAGGTCCCAACCCTATTCCGTGGTCCGTGGACCCACTGACTATGAGCACTCGGAACCCTATATACGAGTATGTAGGTGAGGTGAGCACCGAAACCTTTTGAGCCCTCTGAGACCGTTTGGAGTTTGGAGGTTTTCTCACGGTATCATGAGGCCCCGAGGCCGTTGTTGAGACTGGGACTGACCTCTCACCGAAAGAGAAGCCTCTGAAATGAATGTTAGGTGTGTAACATGGAACCCAATTTCCCCATAAATTTAGGACTTCTGCTAGCCGGCCTCCGCGACTTTTATAGCGAGCTGCCGCCCTTAACTGACGCTGTCACTCGTGGAGCTCTCGCATCCTGTAGAGGACCTGTAAACACTTAACACGCATTCCAGAGCTTCACATCAATGCCATGGCTATCTTTGGAAAGTGCTAGTAAAAATGCTCAGGCACATGGGTGTAGGAGCGCCAAAAATATTGGTGAAGGATGCCACCTGAACCTTATGAAAAGGGACAAGACCGTGCCAACCAACACGCACAGTGCAAGCGGGGGGGGGGGGGGCGAATTTCGCCAACCCCTTGTTTTTCGCAGATATCTTACGCCCGTATCATCCCATTAACGTCAAATTTTCAATGCCTGCCTAAAACTGAATTGTGCATCTTGCCATGACAGCAAGATGTAAATCAGGGCCTCGGCTAAGGAATTTTGACTACTGGGGCAAATGGTCAAAGTGTGTTAACCTGCGCCCTGCTGGGAGGGGGGGGGGGGTTTGAACACCCTCCCCCCCCCTGCGGTTTTTCGCGGATATCTGACAAACGGCGGCACCATATCATCTATCAATTTTATGCATTTTGTGAAAATTTCAGACCAGGGTCCTTCAAGGTCAGGTCACCAGGTCGCTACAAGTGACCTCACCTCATAAACACATCATAAAATGTTTCAATGTATGCCATAGCTACACCAAGTGACGGATCGCTTTGAAGCTTTCAGCAATTGATAAGTGCAACAGTATGTACAAAATTCGGAATTTTCATATCGGTGACCTTAGGTCGGGTCAATTTTGCGACCTCTCTAGGTATTATAAGTCAATGGGAGAAAATTCAAAACCGTCTTTTTCGGACGAAAGTCATTCTAAACACTCTCAAACACTAAATTACAAGTAACTTTGACACACTGAACATGAAAATGGCACCCGTGACCCCTGTTTATGCCCCTAGGGTCATCTCAGGTCACGAATGGTAGGGTACGGTGCCTAATTAGCGACCCTTTCCGATTTGCGACCCACCTCCCTACAGAAAAACTGGCAGGAGAAAACGGGATAAAGCATCGTCAAAAGGTCAGCCATACTTTGTTATCAAATTAAATTATTTTCCGGTCGTCGATGTTTCTGGTGGGACGTTTCAGGTGAGTTTAAGTAAAAATGGCGAGTTTCTTATCCAAAATGTGTGTGTTTGGGCCCTCTCTGATGAAAAGCGATGCACATTAGGATGATGCACCTTTTTTGTTCTGAATCGACATTCCTTTTTTGATTGATTACCGTTTTCCCATAGTGAATCGCTCAACTGTGCACAGCATGGCGGTTAAAAATATGTCGCAACTCATATTTCCTATTTGCGCCTGGCATGGTCGCAAATAGCTCAAGAAGGGAAAGAAAGGGGAAAAGAGAGAAATGAAAACGAGGTGTTGCTGAAGCTTGCAATGTGTGGCAGGGGATGCCAAATGTCGTCACCGACTGCAGGGGTGCCGAATTCAGCGCGGACCTCGAATATCATACAAGATAGCCTGCAAAATTTGGGTTTCCGCCTTCTTTTCGCCTTCGGTGGATCACGTGATCAGTTTTTACTTACGTAAATGTGTTGGATAAACGTTCCTGTTCGAGTTATTGAGTGCTTTGCGTATAGGTTACCTTTTGAGATCATATTTCATCTTTTCAGGCGTCGCATTTTTTGCCATTTTTAATATGGGGAAACCCATAGATTAGCGACCCTCCCCGGTCGCTAATCGGGAAGAGTTCCCTATTAGCGTTTTTTGCAATGGTTTGCCAAAATGCTCATTACAAATAAGTTAGTAAATATTGGGACAGAAAATGACTATATTTTAATAGAAAAATGAACGATCTCTCCGAAAATCAAGCCAGTCACACAGTGGCACCCACAGAGCGTGAGCAATGACAGTTCAAATTAAGGGGGTCGCTAATTAGGCACCTTACCCTATCTAACAGTTTTTTTTGCGACTAACTTTTGAAAGAGGCATGCTAGAGCGATGAAAACGCCTTATATATGTTCAGCTCGACGATACAGATCCACTAATATGCAACATGACAATGTCCGGTCAGGTCATGACCTTGACCTCAGGTCGAATTTTCAAGTTGACCTTTCAAGGTCAAGTTATAGTTCATTCGATGCGTCTTGACGAGAGGAACTCGATGCCGGTAAAAGTAAGCTCGTACGAGGCTTGAGTCAAAAGTTATTGCAGAAAACTGTTTCCGAAAAAAATCGGCTATTTTTGCAGTTTTGCCCCCTGCAGGCAAAACCGTTGACGTTAGGTCAAATCTGAGAGAATCACTCAGAAAGGGCGTTAATAGGGCTATCGAATGCGCTTTTCCGTGGCGCTGTAGCTCTATTGGTTCCCGAGCTATGCGTTGGCTTCTTGGAAATTGTCGACATTCGACCTGGAAATCGGCGAAATTTTGCCTTCAATGACATCTGGTGACCTGACCTTTGACCTGACCAAAAAAGTGACCGAAGTGGTTTCGTCATTATTGTTGGCGCTCTTTCGAACGCCGCCTTCTGCGTATCGCTACGTGGCCCAGGAGCCGAGTTAGAAGGGGGGGGGGTGTTCAAACACCCCCCCCCAGCAGGGCGTGGAAATCCAGGACCCCCAGCCGGGCGCGGGTTAAAGGAAAAGTGCCACCTTCGTGAAATATGAAGATATCGTTGCTTTTCATTTTGACATTATTATTTTTCATGTTCTTTTTAAATCTGGTGCCAGAAGTGCATAATTCGCAAAAAAAGTATGTCAAACTATTTAACATATTGGTACTATGTAGTTGTGCTCTCTACCGCACCTTCTGTATGATGTCATAGCGATGACATCACACTCAAGCCAATCAGCCTTCAGAAGACAGTCTCGTCGGCTTGTGTCAGATTAGCTGATTGGTTAAAGCTGAGCTGATTGGAGCTGATTGGTTAAAAACCAAAGCCTCGCCGCGGGTGGCTGTATTACAGGATAAGAACGCATTCCTGGGATAAGGACGCATTCCTGGCATATTTTCTTTTAAAATTGCCGATACCTACAAATGGAGGCCGAAATCGGCCGTAAGGTGAGACACTCTCGGGGTTTTCGGACACGGGCTACAAGATGGCCATCTCAGTTTCAAACCCCATGTTAAAGGTGGCCCTTTTCCTTTAAAAAACAGACATTTGATCAACCGTCGAATCCAGTAGTTCTAAGCATAGGTAGGTGAAGACCCTCCCTTGCATTGTCCAAGATTGGTGAAGGATCCTTCACCAATCTGAAACTTTGGTGAAAGGTATCCTTCACCAAAGAGATACGTTGCTACACCTATGCTCAGGCATGACAAAGAGTGTCAGTATCTAGTCATATCATAGTTTTTCTAGCTTGAACAGGAATGCCCGAAGTCTGAGCTGGAGTTGGAGTCGAAAGCCGGAGTCTGATTCAGAATCCTGAGTCTGAGTCATCGAAAAAGCGTCACATCTGGCAGTGGATCGCCGGCCGTCTCCCAAGCGGCGCGTAACGGCCGCCGCGCCACCGCTCTGGCAGGGTGTTTGACTTTATACCCCTGTTGTTAGAAAAGTTGTGGACCGATTTACTTGATTCTTGCATGACAAGATCCGCCATTCAATTCTTAGCAGGTAACGAAAATTTGACGTCAATTGCACGGTCCGCTGCCCGTATTGCGGTACTGCCATCTATTGACAAGGCTAGATGACTAATAAAGCCATGCGGCTATTTCCACTGCCGACACACCATGGCTATTATGCTTTCGGTTTGGTGATTTTTAGCAATGGCCAAGGTGCTAGCTATTCATACAGGATATTTTTTGCGATTATGTTGTTTTCGCTATGAGTGTGTGAACGTACACGAATGAATTTATCACTTAATACAATTTTGAAAATAACTAGGCACAATGCGAGTTCCCGCGAAAAGAAATTAGTAGTCAATAGTTGAATTATGCGGTAGAGATTGTCGCATATGCGCAGTTTCTGGCGAAGTAAAATAAGTGCTGGACCTGCTGGAGACCTAAGTAGGATAAGATGATAAGCAAATAATAATATTGCTTGTAGCTGGCGGTACCGGTACCTACCTAGTTTCTTACTGAAAAATAAATTTGACCGGTAAGCATTAGTCTCAATATTGCAAGTGCTGCAAGGCCAGCTGATGGCGTTTATTGAAACTTGTTTGAAAAGAGTGTTGGTGTGGTCAAAAAACGAAGCCAATTGCAATATCCCAACTTAACTAATCAAACCTAATCAGTTTTGCTATTTTTCGCCAGATCATGCTCTTTTAATAGGTACTTAATTTAAACATACACTATTGTGTGTGCCATGCTGTGCTATACTAGCTTGTGTGCCTGCGTTGGACCAGGATTTTCTTGCTTGCGGTCGGGGGTTAATTCCTCAATATCAGCTTGTGCATTTTCCGGAATTTTGTGAACTATTGTTTGCTTAATTAGGCATGAAAACTAGTGTTATGCCAGCAGCTTTGCATTTTTGCCACATGTTTGCTACTTAACATGTTGATATTATAATATAAGGGTAATCAAATATGAAAAAATCAAAATAATACTTGCTAAATATACAACTTGGATTCACGTGGTGCACCACTAATTGTGCCAACAAATGTTATCTCACACAAGCACGTAGCTTCTGCATAAAAAAGAAACAATTTCAGTGCTTACTGCTCTGACGTTGAACTTTGAAGTCTATACCAATACATGCCTGCTAATTATCCTGACAATCATAACTCCAACATTTCCAGGAACAGGACATCTGACAATTTCCTTGACTCAATGTTTGTGACCCACATTGACATTGTAGCTGAATCAGTGCAGTTCCTATTCGTGGAAGTTCTTTGTCTACCTACCAATTTCATGCCATATCTGATAAAATATAAGCCATAGGATGCATGTAATTTTATTGAGGATATTGATAGCCTATCTTGTTCTTAATTCAATATTCAATAATGGTAATTTAATTCAATATATGTGATTTCAGTTTGAATATTATCAGAAAATCATCAATCATCTCAATATCAATCTAATCTGTTTCAGTTAAAAATTCTCCTAATTTGATTCATACAAAGTTATTCATAAGTTGTTAAGATTTTTGAAGTTGTCTTTAATGCCAGTAGTAATGTCTAGTTCTTGATTTATATTCCAATCAAGATTCAGAATTTGACTCAACTTGAAAGATTGAAAGAGAAAAAAAATATCTAGGATAAAATATTCACTGTCATAAATGATACAAAGCAGGGATGCGGAGCCGTGGAAATTTCAGACGGCTCCGGCTCCGGCTCCGGCTCCGGCTCCGGCTCCGGCTCCGGGTGAAATGTTATGGCGGCTCCGGCTCCGGCCCGAGTAAAATGGTCCGGCTCCGGCGGCTCCGACTCCGGCGGCTCCGGCTCCGACTCAGTACATCTCCTATGCAATCAATTAAATACGGGTGGAAGAAAAATTGGATTGGTACACGTAGCTTCTGTATTTGCATAACAACTAACAACTAAGGCTATTTTTCTCAACAGCACATGCAATCAGCGAACAGGGTATATAAGCACGTGGCGAAATGTTATGACTATACGGCCGCGTTACTCTTTGCCATGACCGGCTCACCGCGTCCCCGCGCAAACGCACCTCGGAGAGAACTGGCAGAACAAAGGACTAGAAAGCATTGGAAAGTACATTGGAAACGCAGTCGCCGCGAATCGGAGTTCACTGAACCATCGTAAGCTGACACCCGTCTCGGCTGCATTGGGGGTGGGGGTGGGGTAGGGTGGGGTGGGAAGAGACGGTGTTGGGAGTCGCAGTCCACTGCACTGGCTTCAAAACAATGGCCGTCACCTGATGACCGGTCCTCATGTTCTGGGGATGCAGTAGACGTGGGGGGGGGGGGGAGGAGCAGACAGGAAGTTGATTGCGTACTGTGGGATGCTGGGGATATTCGGCTTTTTCATTCACTTGATGGCCCATGACGTACTATTGGTCTCAAGATAAGGGCCCAGGCGACCTGTAGTTTTGATGCGGTGAATACCCTTACCCTCGCCATAACTCGGGCCGAGTGCACCCCTCCTATCAGCCAGCGCCACCCCCACTCGAGTTGTGGCGAGGGTGAGGGTATTCACCGCATCAAAACTACAGGTCGCCTGGGCCCTTATCTTGAGACCAATAGTACCATATGTTTTACTGCCTTATACTGTCAAACCGAACTACGTAGGTCAATTATTTTTTTCCTCTTCAAAAAATAAAAAGGAGCCGGAGTCGCCCCCTTTTTTGGCGGCTCCGGCTCCGGCTCCGGCTCCGGGCTATATTGTTTCACGGCTCCGGCTCCGGCTCCGGGCAAAATATGCCGGCTCCGGCGGCTCCGGCTCCGACTCCGGCTCCGGCTCCGCATCCCTGAATTACAAAGTTAACTTCCCTTACTAGTTTAGAGAAGTCGAGGAAAGCTAGGATGAATGAGAAGCTGACAGGTGTCTGGACTTGAGCAAAAAGTGGAAGATCTAAGATAAAAAATGCATACATCACACTCATTTCACTCTTTTTTCCTGCTTTTTTCCAGGTTCAGCTTCAATATCAGCTTGGAATACCTGTAAAAGACTGCTCTGCCATACCTATAAAAGACTGCTCTAAAACGTTTACCAGTCTATTGGCTATCACAATGACTGAAGAAAAGAAGAAACCTCAGTCATATGCTGGTATACCAGAGGCTCAGTTCCTGGAGGATGTTGACAGCTTTATGAAGGAACAGGGCCCCGAAGTCACAGTGGAGATGATCCTCAAGAGACTTGAGGAGCAGCATCAGAAATACAAGTTTATGGAACTGAACCTTATGTCGAGGCGGAAGCGGCTGAAGTCACAAATCCCTGACATTGAGGGCTCACTGAAGATTGTCAAACAAATGCAGGAGCAGAAGGGCAAGGAGGGTGTCATTTCGTCTCACTTCCTGCTGTCGGACCAGGTGTACGCCAAGGCCGAGTCGACGCCGTCGGAGACCGTCTGCCTCTGGCTGGGCGCCAACGTGATGCTCGAGTACTCGCTCGACGACGCCAACAAGCTGCTCTCCGACAACCTCAGCAACGCCTCCAAGAACCTGGGCCAGGTGGAGCACGACCTGGACTTCCTGCGTGACCAGTTCACCACCGTCGAGGTGAACATGGCGCGCGTCTATAACTGGGACGTGAAGAAGCGACAGGCGGCCAAGGCGGCCGGCGCGACGCTATGATGAGGGTGGGGTGCGATGTTGAACTGCGCGATCCGGTGATTCACTGTTGTTCATTTGCTTTGCGTTCACTCAACCTCTGGCGACATTTGCCTTGTGCAGTGATATGTGCAAGTCTTTGACTAGTTTATTAACACAGATGTCTGCCATTGCCTTACAGATAGGTATTTGCTTTTCTCGGCGGTTTCGAATATGTGCAACCTATGTGTTAAAATAAATAAATGCTGCTAATGATTATATTAAATCGTACGTTTTGAAGTTAGGTACTGTGCAGATCTTGGAAAAATGATAATGTAATTTGTGATGGAGCGATTTCCTTAAATTATTGTAGCAAATTCGATGCCGTTATTACCTATGAGTATTCACTCATTATCACATCAGCTCAGTGTGTGTTCACCTCAGACGCAACACTCCACCGTGCCTTGTATTTTGGCGTATCACAGACATTTTACTAACCCTAGCAGTACTTGGCGTCCTGTGTGTTGGCGAGGATCCAGTCGAGGGCGGCCGTCACCCTGGCGTACACGCCGGCCGAAAGGGGTCGGGCGCAACCGAGTCCCCAGCTGGTGACCCCGAGCAGCGCCTGGCGGCCCTCGTCGTCCACACTGACCGTCAGCGGGCCGCCCGAGTCGCCGTGGCACGTGTCGCGGCCGCCGGACCACACGCTGCCGGCCGCGCACACCGTGCTGCCCGTGACGGGCACCGGACTGTTGAGGATGCGGCAGAGCGCCGCCGGCACCTGCTGCAGGGTGACGCTGTGCGGCCGGTCAGTGCGCGGACCGCCCACCCGCTGGGCGCCCCAGCCGGCGGCCGTGACTGTGGCCCGTCGGTAGCGGCCCCGCTCGGGCAGACAGACGGGCGCGATGCGGTTGTCTGGCGTCGGCAGGCTGAGCGGTGTCTCCAGGCGCACCAGGCCCACGTCGAAGCCGAGGAAGAGCGGCCCGAACAGCGGGTGCCGGCGCACCGCGGACGCGTTCAGACGCACGTCGGCGCCCGAGTCGCGGCGCAGCTCGTGCTTGCCGAGGACGACCTGGAGGTTGCGCGGCCGCCGGCGGAGCAGGCAGTGCGCCGCCGTCAGCACGTAGCGGTCGTTGATGAGTGAGCCGCCGCAGAATGGCCGGTGGTGGCCGGGCTCGACGAGCGCCGCCAGCCACGGGAACTGGTGGCGGCCCGCCGGGGCGCCGCCGGCCACCCGCGTGGTCGGCACGGGGTTAGTGCGGCCGCAGCACCGGCTCCTGGCGGCCAGACCAGGGATCGGTCGACCCCAGCGTGTGTGCTCCGCCGACGTCCGATGGCGTAGGAAGTGCGGCTTTGGCCACAGCGGTGACTCGCGCAGCTTCACCGTCAGCGAGTACGCTGACATGGTATTCCTGTGATGGGTGGTGTTTGATCTAGCAGCGGTCGAAGGCTGGTTGCAAAATGCAAGCAGCAATGCCAAGCAGGCTCTCAAACGTCTCATGGCTGGCGCACAACACGGTAACGCGGCACCTCACGAGACAAACACAACCGCCTCTCGATTGTTAAAGTTACGGAGTCGAAGCTACGCGACCGAAATCGATCACGATCGTTAATCGTAAATGATCTACACTGTTGTCGTCACCAGCAGCAACACCATGGGGCGCGGAACGATCCGGATCGCCGATTAAAGAGGCCCGCAGGACGGTGATGGCTTTGTGATGACTCTACACAAAAAGTGGTCCTGCCATGTGAGCGACCGATGACCTCCACATTCCACGTTGCCGCTGGCATAGGTGTAGCAACGTATCTCTTTGGTGAAGGATACCTTTCACCAAAGTTTTAGATTGGTGAAGGATCCTTCACCAATCTTGAGCAATGCAGGTGAGGGTCTTCACCAATGCTGAAACGACTGGGTTCGACGGTCGATCTAATGTTAAAAAGAAAAGAAAAGCAATGCCGAATGGGATGAACAAAAAGGCTAAAACGGTAACAGGTACCCAATTACCCCATCCTTTCAGTTATGAAGCGTCATGCCCACCTTTTTCACAATTCACGCCATTTAATAAATGATAGGTAATATACCAGTAAAACGCCTTTTGGGCGAAGAACGAGCGAGCGAGATAGTGAGCCCTGCACGTGCGGAAGGGCGAGAGGGTACTTCCAACGGGCATGTGCAAAGCACCCTTCTAACCGGTCGCTAGCGGTGTGCCAAATTTGAACGCAAGTCGGCCCAGCCGTTCCTGAGATCTGGAAGCGGCATTCTGCACGTGCGCACGTGCAAACGGGGTCCAAAATGACTTTTGCACGGCACCCTACTAACCGGTCCCCAACCGTGTACCAAATTTGAGCGCAATCGGCCCAGCCGTTCTCGAGATCTGGAAACGCCCCCTGCACGTGCGCACGTGCAGTTAGCACCCTAACCGCAACACATGGGAATGCGTTGCCTGGTGGGTGCTTACTTGTATGCCAAGTTTCAGCGAAATCGCCCCAGTAATTATCGAGTTACTGAAATGGGAACAAATTTGGCACCTCTTCTTTTTGTATTTTGCACGTGCAGTGGGGGTCACTCACATAGATCAAGAGTATCCGACCTTTGGTAGAACGGATGCAGCTACCCTATAGAAATTACCGCAAGACAATCGCTCAAGCCGCTGCTGAGATATGGGCCTCTCAAAATCATTACTTTTGCCAAACTGCTTGAACACCCTTGACTTTTCACGTGGTACGTGCCACGACGGTCACTGAGATGTATCAAAAGTAGTCAATTACGGGGTAGAAGGGATGGGGCTACCCAGCAAAAAAGACCGCAAGCCAATCGGTCCAGCGGTTGCTGAGATATAAGCCTCTCAAAAGCGTTACAGGCCGGGCCGGGCCGGGCCGCTCTTACTGAGATTTTTCCCTTATATTGAAAAGACTTCGCTTCGCTCGCTGCGCTCGCTCGCTCGTAAATACTGAACGAGGTCGGTGTAAATAAATTTTCAAGACCCAGGTCCTTACTGAATTTTTGAACGAGGCCGAAGGCCGAGTTCAAAAATCAGTAAGGACTGAGGTCTTGACAATTTATCACCGGCCGAGTTTGGTATGTATTTTCCCATACCTGCTACATTGCATGATTAACCCTATTCCTGGCGGGGGGCCTCAGGAGCCCCCCCCTGAGGTTTTTTGGTTATTTCTCCCAAACGCGTTGAGCTAGGAAGCTCACATTTTCTGACTTTTCCTAAAAGGCTTCTACGCAACATGTCTGAAAATTTTGAGTTGATCTGACCTCAGGTCAGGTCACCAGAGGCGGTTTGGTGACCCTACCTCAGAAAAGTTTGCAATCACGCCAGAGCTAGAGTTTTTGACCGATCAATTTCTTCTCTTCAGGCTTTAGTTAGGGTACCAGTATGTGCAATTTGTATATCTCGGAATTTTGATATCGGTGACCTAAGGTCAGGTCAGTTTCGCGACCTCCCCATTGTAAGTCAATGGGGGGAAAAATCAACTCCCTGTTTTTACCACTAAAACGGGTCGGAATGGCCCCATATACCATACATGACTTCATATACGATCAACCTTCACTACCTTGAGGTCTGTTTTGCTGTTGGGCAGCTGTGAGGTCATGTGACGTCATCAAAGGTCACCAAAGGTTTTTGGCCAATAACTCCGTACAGGAACAAGATACAGACGCGTGGATGGTCTCATTGTGTTCAGCTCGTCAAGACGCATCGAATGATATACATGATGACCTCGAGGTCACGTGACCTGAGGTCAACCTTTGACCTTGACCTTTCGAGGTCAACATATATATCATTCGATGCGGATTGACGAGAGGATCACGATGATGCCCTTAGTTTGTTCCTATCTTGACTAATTCGAAAGTTATTCGAGAAAAACTCTCTCCATATCTAGCGCCGCCATTTTGACTTTTTCGACCCCTGTGACGTCATCTTTGACCTGATCTGAAAATGACCTTTGTAAAAATTGTAGACCTTGTCCATGCGTATCCGATGCCGTTTACCGCTTGTCGCTATCTTGCTTCGTTCTCGAGATCTCAGGGGGGGGCCGAATCGGCCCCCCCCCGCCAGTTTCTTGTCCCGGCGGAGCCCGCCAGGAATAGGGTTAAATCGAGACATCCAGGCATTTAAACGGCACGTGCACTGTACCACACTGTTCAAAGTTTAATGCAATGCTTTAATATTACCAGCCGTGTGGTTCAAGGGGTGTGGTTAAACACGTTGAACCACACGGCTGCTGACGTCACTATCATATAGTAGTGTGAGCTTTTTGGCAGGTATGGGAAACACCTTCCAGCCCTAAGGCCGGGAATTCAATAAATGTCACCTCGCTTTTTTTTAGCAAAATCACCTCGGGCCTAACGGCCCTCGGAGTTTTCGCTAAAAAACCTCGGTGACATTTATTGAATCATCCCGGCCCCGGGCAGGAATATATTTTACTGTATGCCAACGATAAAACAATTGTCTAGACCGAAGCTCTTAGCGGTTTTTGAACGAGGCCATCCCAAAATGTTGACTTGGTAATGCATTTTTGACCGTGGTCACTTTGCTTACACCAGTTATTACCACACCCCTCAGGCTAATGTATTTGAATAGGCCAGGCATACAGTAATATATAATATTGAACGAGGCCGGTGTAAATAAATTTACAAGACCGAGGTCCTTACTGAATTTTTTAACGAGGCCGAAGGCCGAGTTCAAAATCTGTAAGGACTGAGGTCTTGAAAATTTATCACCGGCCGAGTTTTTTTTATGTATTTTACTATACCTATGCCAACGATAAAATAATTGTCTAGACCGAAGCTCTTAGCCGTTTTTGAACGAGGCCATCCAAAATGATGACTTGGTAATTCGTTTTTGACCGTGGTCAATTTGCTTACACCAGTTATTACCACACCCCTCTGGCTAATGTATTTGAATAGGCCAGGCATACAGTAAAGCCGAAAACTGTATTGAAGTTGGTAAACGTGTAAATGTGTCTCAGTAAATCCCGTGAATATCGAAATAAATTGGCTTGTTTTTACTCGTGGGAAAGTTGTAAGACTTTGGTCACGAAAAAATGCAGTGGAGCATACCTTTAGGTTCCAAAGGTATGCTTGGATGGTGGATACCTTTGGTAGGTATCCAAAGGTATGCTTGGATACCTAAAAATTCAATTTTAGGCATGTACTGAAAAGTTGACGTTAATTAGATGATAATGGCGTGAGACATTTGCGAGAAAAAAAAACAGGAGTTGGCGAAATCCCCCCCCCTCCACTGCGGTAAGGTCCTGCACCCTCTCCGAAGGTTCAGGTGACATCCTTCACCAATATTTTTGGCGCTCCTACACCCATGGCCGCTGGGATCTTGGCTGGAATCAGCTGTGACTTATGCGCTGGAAAAATCAAAGAAACGATGTTAGTAAAATGTAGAAGCATTATAGTATTCAGTTTACTGGGAGTAAATCCATCATTTGAAAAGATATCCTCCCCCACTTGCATCACGATTTGCGTGCTCAGGTCTACCGGTGAGGGTCGGTCGAGGTGAAGGGAATTACAAAAAAATGGCAGCGATATGGCAGCGGCAGTGAGAGACAGCAGCTGCGCTTCTTTTTCAAATTCATACAAGTGTCAAAGTCGTCAAAGTGCTGGTAATAGCAAGGATAGATGGTAAACAAGTGGTAAGTAGGGCGGATGGGGGATTGGTAAATAGTAAATACAGCTATTGATGCCTTGATCGATAGGCTGCATAGAAGGTGATTGACTTGGGCTCAGGTAGGCAATAAAAGTAAAGTCAGCCGCTCCACTCAAAAGTCAATGTAATCAACTAGTCCCCCCGAATCTGAATCCCTGAACTTAATTTGTAAAATTAGGGCAGCTCAAAATAGAATAAACGCGGTTTGAGATTGGCAATTTGCATTGATTGTAAGACAAACTCCAAGCCAACTGCCAACTGCCTACTCCCCAGACTGAGACTGCAAAGTGTGGCAGGCAGGTGTACAGCACCTCAACCTGTACGTCTGAGGTGCATCCATTTCAATTGGAGTGCATGCCTGGCTAATAAGAATGCTTGTGTGGTTGGAAGGCATCAGACACATTTAAAATCAGTCATTACGGAGCGAGCGAAGCGAGCGGAGTCTTACGTAGAATAACGGAAATTTCTGAGTATGAGCGGCCGGCCGGCCGCTTTTGCGAGGCTTATATCTCAGCAACCACTTGACCGATTTACATGCGGTAATTTTTGTAGGGTAGCTTCATTCCTTCTACCAAGTATTGGACTATTCCCGATGCATGTGGGTGACCCCTTATGCACGTGCCACGTGCAAAACGAAGAGGTGTCAGTTTTGCAATTGTTGCAATATCTCGGTAACTACTTGGCCGATTGCGCTAAAAGTTGGCATGTAGGTAGGCACCCACTAGGCACTGCATATCCATGTGCCAGAGTTGGGGTGCCGCTGCACGTGCGCACGTGCAGGGGTCGTTTCCAGATCTCGAGAACGGCTGGACCGATGGCGCTCAAATTTGGTACACGGTTAGGGACCAGTTAGTAGGGTGCCGTGCACAAGTCAGTTGGGACCCATTTTGCACGTGCGCACGTGCAGGGTGCCGCTTCCAGATCTCGAGAACGGCTGGGCCGATTGTGCTCAAATTTGGCACATCGCTAGAGACCGGTTAGTAGGGTGCCGTGCACAAGTCAGTTGGAGGTACCCCCTCGAAATATCGCACGTGCAAGGCTCACCCTCTCGCTCGCTCCGTTACTCGCCCCAAAAGGCGTTATACTGGTTCAGTATGTTTAGAGATATAGCAT